TCAGGGTCCAAGAAATCGCCGCCGGTCGTCAGCGGTATCCGCGCCACCCTGCTGCTGGTGGGCGTAAACGTTGATAGGCTGCTGGGGAAGAACTGCACGTCTTTTCGCGCTATGACGTAGGAGGCGTTCGACGTGCGCATCTTGAAATCGAGCGAGCTAATGAGTTCATCGTTGACCGCGTTGGTGACCTGGTCCATCGTGTTTGCTTTCCTTACTGATGCGCGGCGACGGTTGTCGTTCGTCCTAGCAGCCGTCAAGCAGCTTCGGGCTCTCGGGACAGTGCCTCCCGACGAAGCTCGTTGAAGGAGGGCTCTGGCCTCTGCGGCCTCGGCCTCCGAACGGGGCCGTAGCTCTCGCTGCCGCTGCTCGTCTGAGCCACGGGGTTCAAACCGAAGGGCATCCTCGCCTGTGGGGCTGGGCGCGACTGCACTTGTGGCCTTGGCTGCTCCTGCTGCTGCGCCATGGGCGCATCGTCCTCGCTGCTGTTCAGGCGCGAGACCATGGGCTGCTGCACTCGAGGCTGCCGCAGGCTGAAGCGCTCTTGCGGCGCACCTTGCTGCATGCCGTTCAGTGTTCGCAAGTCTTGGAACTCGCTGCCGGAGCTCGAGGCGCCTCCGCTGCCGCCTCCGAGCATGTACCTCGCGCCCTGGTAGGCTCCGCCTACTGCGCCCATGCCCAGTCCTAATGCCGCCGCGCCCAAGCCTCCTACAGCTGCGCCGCCTGCTCGACCTATGTTGCGTGCTGCGGGGAAGGCCGAAGCGCCGTCCCTGACGCCCTCGAGCGCGCCTCCTGCTTGCAGCTGCGACACCGCTGCCCCGAGGTGGCTCCGTCTGCGTGCCGGCCTCTGATCGCCCGGCTAGCAGCGCGCCGCCGGCTCCTGCAACCAGGCTCAGAGCTGCTGGGATCGCAACTTCAGGCGCCAGCGCCACCGCTGCTGCCCCGCCCAGGGCCTCTGCAGCGCCCGTCGCAGCTGCTGCCAGGCCGCCTGTCTCGGCCAGCAACGGCGTGATCTCGGCCGTCTCGGCAGCGGCTTGCTCTGCCGCGAACTGCTCGATGTCTGCGGCCGCGGCTCGCTCGACCTCCTGCGCGTGCTGCCCGGCCCTGATGATCAGCTGCTCCGCGTCTGCGGGCCTGCCGATGATGCGAGGCAGCACCCGCTGCTCCACCTGCGCTGCAGCCCGCTCGGCGTTGCGGAACCCGAAGCGTTCTATAGCCTGTCCAACTCCGGCAGCACCAGCTGCTATGATCGCCTCGCCTCCCCGCAAGGCCGCCTCGCCCAACCTGCCGCTGACGCTGCTGGAAGCGGTTGGAGGCGGTCTGGGGGCATCGAAGCCATCGCGTCGGAAAGCCTCGTCGGGGCCTTCGCTGTCCGTGTCTGGGTCTGGGCCCAAGAAGCTGGGTCGCCTCATCTGCGGAAATGGCCTGCCCTCGTAGCCGTCGTCGGCGCTGACGTAATCGTCCTCGAGCTGCGCGCCCAGCTGCGCGCGTGGCCTCGGGTTTTCGTCCAAGGG